ATTTTGAGGGGACAGCAAATTTACACTGTTATACAAGCTGTACACACTCACTACTTCACATTGTAGCAAAGTGTCATTTCTTCAGTGTTGTCACTAGGCCTGTCGCGATAATTAAATAACCATCTAATCGCGATTATTTGATATAACCGCGGTTGTTTCAGACAACACTTTTTATAGGAGACAAGGGGGAGTCATACACCAAAAGAAACAGAAGAGCACCAGTTTGCTTTTCATGCACTGTATAGCCTATACAGGGCTCCAGATTCTTCTGTAGTTTTTCTCTGTAATGAGGAAGTGAGTATTTAGTGGATTGCGTTTAACAAAGGGTTTAAAAGAGTGACCATTAGTTCCACAAACACAGTATTGATATTCTGTAGTGGTGTAGAAAAAAAGTAGCGCTGGTGTTGGATCGGTATTGGCCGATTCGTAGAATTTGGAATACTCTATGTAATCTTGCAAAATAATAACTCAAAAAGATTAAAAGATAACATCATAATTAACGGAACCCTTAAATTAATCAATTATATAATGAAAGCCATAAAAAAAAAAACAGACAATTAATCGCGATAATCGGCATAATCGTTTACAAAAATGTGAGGGGTGTACTCACTTCTGTGAGATACTGTAAATTAAAGTTATTATGCTGAAATACAGTAAAAACAGCAATATTGTGAAACATTATTACAATATTTGTTTTTAATTTTAATTTTAAATGTAACTTATTCATGTGATGGCAAAGCCAAATTTTCAGCATCATAACTCCAGTCTTCAGTGTCACATGACCCTTCAGAAATCATTCTAATATGATCATTTGCTGCTCAAGAAACATTTCTTATTACTATCAAGAGTTGAAAACAGTTGAACTGCTTAATGTTTTTGTGGAAAGAACAGCATTTATTTTGTAACATTCTGAATTTTGTTAGTCACTTGGTTAATTGAATGCATCCTTGCTGAATAAAAGTAAAAAAAAACTTTCTGACCTCAAACTAAATAGTATAGATACTGATTTGTATATACCCTAGAAATATTTATTATAATTATTTTTGTCTTATAACTGTACTAGTGAACATATTAAGTTGAATGTGCACAATCTGTGTCATGTCGTTGATATCAGGAAATATTAGAAAAAGCATAAAACCACAAACTAAACCCTTGTTTTAGTGCAAAGGTTGATTGACATCAGGACAGATCAGCATTTTCACTACAAATCTGATGTGGTTTGTGTTTCTTAGTAATTGGCTCACACGATGTTTTCGTCTACATCGGAATTTAGCGCCGTCCACTAATGCCTTATATGTAAACAGTGTCCAAATGTCTGTGATTACTCTCAAGCGAATTGTGCATGTTTAAACAAGCTGCTTTTCAAATCCTACGCTCATTTATCATTTAGCACACAGTTCTTTTCCAAAGCAGTTTACACAACAGGACAGGTGTGGGATTTCAGCATGCTTCAGACCAAACCCTGCAACCTTTGTACTAGCAGCAGAGAAACAACCAACCCACCACCCAGTCCTCAGACTACTTACCTACTGGTAATCCCAAAACATGCTCTGGACTGGGCAGGGCGAACCGAAACCTGCGGGTATCGTGGCTTATGATCTGTAGGAAAAGAAAAAAAGTATTATTTTGTCAAAAGCATCTTGTCAGTACCACGAATATAAATTATAGCACAAGGTAATAAATAGACAGGGCAAATACCTCTTTGTCTACTAGTCTCAATTTGTATTTTTCAGAGTGATTAATCAGGGTAATCTGTGGTTTCCTTTTCCTGTTGAAGTAATAATAACCCAGCAGACCTGCTGTTGAGACCAGCACCACTCCAACCGACACTGCAACTGTAGTGGACTAAAAATACAGATTAGTGCACATTAACACGGTTTAAAATCCACCTTAAAAACATATAACAGAAAACGATCAATTATAAAAAATAATTAAAAAAAACACCAAACATGCATTCACTGATATGCAACATACAACAGAAACGTGACTCAACCATTAACAAAGATTCTCAGCAGTTTCAAATGCCTGAATGAATCATCTGTATTTCCTAAAATAAACGTAGAACTGATGTTTCTGCTTTGGTATCCCATTTCAAGAAGAACTGTCTGCTGATTTCGTTTTCTACAAAACAAAAATGTATTTTAAATACAAATGACTGAATAGCATAGTTAGTGCCATGACTAGTCAATATGCTGTGCTGATATACCGATAACCAGCAATGTTAAACAAACTTGGTGGCATGCCAAAGCAACATTTCCTCTCTATAATAGTTCATTGCTGCAGTTAAACTTAGTGTATTCTCTAACGCTTTATGACTTACCATCGCGTAACTCATGCCAGCAGATCTACTTCTACAAGGAGAGATTCAGTCAGAGCGAAGCTTCAGCCTAAACATTAGTCGGCACAACCATGAACATGCAGGCAGCTGTGTTGGAGGCAAACAACGCTGCACCCTCATTGCGCATAATAAAACGATTCGAACAACGCATTTCGTTCGGCCTAATGCCATCCATATTACAACATATCTAATGTCTGTTGTCGGCGGAAACCCATACAACCAGATAAAAATAAAAGTCCTGATAAATGTATGTATATATATTTAAAAAGTGGAATAAAATTTCCTTAATTTCTGTCCAAAAATGACAACAATTTATTTAAAATTAAATGTTTTAAATTAAAGTGCAAATAATAAATGTCCTCTGATTTCTTTTTGTTTAGAAATATATTTATTTGTAAAAATGCAATACAATTTTAAATGTAAAAACGTGAAAGTAATTAAATGCCCAGAAGAAATGTTATTTATTAAAGGAAAACCAAGTCTAATCCACAAATTCTAAAAAAGTAGAAGCAATTTCCTGAATAATGAATACAGATTGTTATATCAATGCTGAAAGCGCCATCATTTTAAGAAACCAGGGTGCTTTTAAAAGTAGATAATTGCATACATTGGTTCCGTTATATTTCCCTAATTAATTTATGTTCAAGCCATTATCTTTTTCACATAATTGTGAACATTGAAGTGAAGCTGATTCGAGGTGGCTGAGAAAACCTCCAATGCCAGAGACTTTGTCTCTTCTGATCCATTCCAAAGGGCCCGATAAACTGGTAATGTGTACTTCTGTTTCCCCTGAATGCAAAACATGAAAATCAGTCTTTTAAAACAAGTCAACCAGTCTCTATGCCTACCAGCAATTTAATTATTAGTCAAAACAGCTAAATGATTAATAAATAGTTGTACAGATTCTAACCTGGCTTGTGAGGAAATTGCGAATATGTTGGAATCCTGGTTTATGCTGATTCTTTGCAACAATCTGGGCCCATCGCAGTTTCAGCTCGGCATTGTTAGACTCAATAATATGCGAGTAGCACTCCTCCAGCTTCTTCATGTGGCCTGTTAATATGAGGATATTATTTATTTTACAATCTACTTAAATACAACTTTTACTAAATAAAAACAAACCATAAACACAAGGAAGTATTTGCACCATCTGGAAGTGGTGACTTCTCAAGGATCTTTTCCAAGAAGTAGACAGTTTGGTAGGTCTTCCACAGTTTTATATCAGTTTTGCAGATAGATTCCAAGTCTAGGTTATGATCAACCCACATTTCCGCTAACAGTTCTGCTGGTTTCATTAGCTCCTGACCAGCAGAGAGGTCAGGCACATATGCAGGCCAACCCGACACATTGAGCCAGCTGTCAAAATCCAGACCTAATAAACAACCGAGAAGAAACAAAAGCTGATGCAAAAGGCAGTCTGACCAAACAGTATGAATTTATCTTTTGTGATTTTATGACAAAGAAATGCTACTAATGGTCTTTTTCTGCACCCTCAATTTTGTGGACATTCTTCTCTTTCAGGTCTGGGAAATACTCCAGGTAGAAGTCCAATGCATCCTCTGCCAACACACTTCTGAACTTGAACTTGTCAACATAAGCCTTGAAGAGACACAATTGAATTGCTCTTTTATCATACTTATTTACATATATTTTTTTGTACATACCAAAGGTTTTCAAACTTTTTGAAGAGCGACCCTTTTTTTCTTTTTAAATTTACGGGACATGATATATATATATATATATATATATATATATATATACAGTGCCTTGCGAAAGTATTCATACCCCTTGATGGGTTTTCATTTAGGCTATCTCTATATTTTGCTGCACTGAGCTTTTCTTCTACTCTGACAAGTCCCTCGGTCCCTGCCACTGAAAAACAGCCCCACAGCATGAGGCTGCTACCAGCACACTTTACTTTTGGGATGG